TTAAAAAGTTAACCAGTCAATCTGATTTATGAAAGCATGGTAGCCTATTTAGTTTATTGAACTTTAATTAGCTAGTAGATTGGATTTAGCATCTTTATTATTGAAAAAAGATAACTTCCACATTTAAAACTTATATATACCAATGTCCTATGTTTTGTTGATGTTTTTTCATCTGGAACCTCCCTAGCAGCTCAACGTTGCTGACTTGCTGTTGACCATTCAAGATATGGATGGCTATCATTCTGTCAAATTGGGATATGCCATATGGGAGACCTGTCATGATCATTTTGATGTGTTTTTATTTTATGCAATGGAAGTATTAGCCAGTTGCTAGATTGAAATTTTCCTACTCATGAATGGAATCTTGTTGCTCCAAGTTGATCAATTTTTTATACATTTAGAATCTGATGGCCTTATCATGCAGTTTTAGGTATAAATAATATGATGGAAGATAGCTAATTCATCTGGCACTAATCTTGTGGCTCTGAAAATAGCAAAAAGCTCTAGTCATGGCTTGAAGTCTTGAATGGTAGACATAGTAGCAAAGCAGAGAGTTTTCTAGACTCTTCCTCAAGTTCATTTTTGAGTCCTATAAGTAGACCAGTAAAGTATCTTGGATACCAGAATTATCATATATAAGAAATTGGTTAAAATCTTGAGTAAATGAGGAAATTAAAAATGAACTTATTCTAAAAAATCACTGGTTTGCCACTATGCTGGTAGATATTGTACTGTTGTACTTGTACATGCCAGGCAGGATATAGCTATAGGGTGAACACACCTTATTCCAACACATTAAGGACATGCCAAGAAATGAATGGCTATAAAAAGATCACCGTATGCACAACTCGAGTTCTGATTACTTTACGTCACTCTCAAAACACCACACTACGTGCCAGCAACGATGAAATGTCACAAACTGTTGCCATATTTATTTAAAAGCCTTTAGAATTCAAATCTACAAAATCCCTGAATTCCTATGCTGTGTGTGACTAAATTTGGCATATTGTGAGACTAATTCCGACAGCGCTTCAAACTCTTACTAATTCGTAATTCCGAGGCCCGTCGCTCTGTGTTGGAATTCCGATGCCCTGTGTCAGCTGTATCGGAATATGACACAGCTCAGAACAAGATTAATTTAAAAATTTTAACTTTTTAATTAAGCTGTTAATAGGGTAAACGCGGTATATTCCGACACATTAAGGACGCATCGAGAAATGAAAAACTATAAAAAAAAACCGTATGCGTTATGTAAGTTCTGTTGCCTTCACATGAGTCAACTGTCAAATTTGACACATTTTTCGATGATCTCACCACGTGGCATGCATTGTCTCTCTTTGGATCTCAATATTTTCCCACTAGATGGCCAAGACCTAGTGTTTTTTCAGTATTTTGACACGCAAATGCATGACGTCACCATTTCAACCATCAATGAACGCATGGAACTAAAACAAAGCTTAATATAAAGGAAAAGCTGGAGAGGTGACGGAATTACCTACGATGTCGGAATATACCGCGTTTACCCTAAAGCTTTTAATTAAGAAAATTTTAATTTTTAACACGGCTTGGTACGAGCTGTGTGTGTTCAATTCCAAGCTGTTTCAGAATTAGTTTTTATGTGTCTAAAACCGTCTCTTAACTTGGATCATCTATTAATTTATTTACCACTTAATATCAGCAAATACAAGTATACATGAAGGATTCCTAAGGCTAATATATTCATAGACTTATTTAAGTCTCAAACCATAATATTCTTTCTACAAAAACAGTTTATCACTATTTGGTAGAGCAAGGTCAACTATCAACTGACACGTGTTTTGATGTTCTCACTAGTTGACTTGGACTTTTGCTCTTTGGATCTTGATATTTTCCCACCAGACCTAGTGTTTTGCAGGAATCTGGCACGCAATAGTATGACGTCACTATTTCAACCATCTTCGCATGCATGGAACTAAGACAAGGCTTAATATAAAGGAAAAAGTTGAGAAGTGTCAGAATTACCCACGATGTCAGAATATGGTGCATTTACCCTATATTAGTAGCAGCATGCAATTCTATAGTTGATCTAAAAGAACATTGTAGGCCTATTATGAGATTTTGGACAATCAATGGAGTCAACAGCACACCATAGTTTATCTAAAAGAACATAGTATTATGAGATTTTAGACCAATCAATGGAGTCAACAGCACACTAGGTCAGGAAAAGTCTCACTTTTTTCTGAAATATTGTGGCTCTAATACATAATTTCAGTAGGTATTAAATCAACTTCCACAATCCGCATTACTTCAACGCTCCTGCCAAAATATTATGTGGAACGTAATAACAAGTCAAGTCAAAACGTTTTTTTTTTTTTGAAGATACTTGTGGTCATGTCAGAGCAGTCAGACTACAATATCATATTGACGTCATAATTACAAATGCTACTTAAGCAAAGACAAATGTTAGTGTTGCTGTGAAATTGGACTGTTTTTATTGTGAAATTAGATATTTAGGTAACATGTGCATGCAACTTTTTAAATAAGTTTGCAGCTTATAAATGGCTTTTCATGGCTGAGATATGGAATTCATGGCTCAAAGAAATGGAATCACAGCTGGCAAACCCATAAATCATGGCTTAAAAAATCCAGTCATGGCTCGCCAATTCGATAGGTTCCATGGCTGCAACACGCTAACACCACCACGGGCACCACCCCTCACAAGATACAACCGCCTACTTAATAAACAAAATACAGCATTGACAACAACAGTTCAACCCATGGTCTCAAACCAAAAATTTTTTGGAATCGGTAACTTTTTAATTTCCTCTTTAACTTGAGATTTAAGCCAATATCTTATGCATGATCATGCTGAGATACAGGATACTTTACTGGTCTACCTATAGGACTCAGAAATGAACTTGGACATATATAAAAAATATATGCTCAGATGCCAACCAAATCATGATAGCTGAGGCCCTCATCATTAAGGATAGGACCCCAGCCATCAACCTGTTAGCTACTGGATTTGTCAGAACCTTGAGATTGTTTTTGGATTGATTTTTGGTGTTTTAAATTCATGATTATCTTCATATTTTTGTAATTATTTCTGTTTTGATTTTTGAGAAGTATCCTATTTACATGATTTTATCTAAAAAAGTCTATGCTCAGACACATTGGCCCAACCAATAAGAAATTTGAATTTTTCTAAAGGAAGGTACATATTGAAGTCAGGTTTTAAAGTTATGAAATGCCTATAAAATATTCAAAATTTATATTATTGCATTAAATATGTATATAATACACATTGCAGGGACCTTGCTGTTCAGAAAATAAGGCAAAAGCTATAGGTACAGCTTGAAAGGTAGACATATTCTTTGCCTAAGCTGGGGCAGATTTGAAAAAAAAGTTTTTTTGAGTCATGACAAAAGGGTTTTGGCTACTTTTGGAAATACGCAATATCAGCTACCATCAGAGCCACTAGCTAAGTTCAGAGTATTTCTGTTGTCAGCCTTTAAATTGAATGATGTATTTCATTATCAAAATTGAGCTGCAACTTTCTTGCTTAATTGGAAATGCTTCTTTGCTTAGTTGCATGTTGTAATTCTACTTGTTACATTTAACTGAAAACATTTCCATGAAAGCGGCACTGAAAGCATGAATATAAAGAATGATACGAATACTTGTAGGAACAAATTATTTGGCTATCATTGAAAATTCAGTAAAATTAAAATAATTTTTATGTTTGTGCAAAACCTGCTTGATCCTTCAATTGATTGATTGGTATACACCTACCTGCACTGATGCACAATAATTAGCTGTTTATTAGTTAATAAATTAATTGAAACCATCAATAATTTGCTTTTAAATGTGAATCTGTCAGTTTGAATGACTAATATGACTAAATAGTGCACATGAACCTTTTCATGATAAATTATTGCAAGCCGTACCCTGCAATTGCATTGGCCGTGTTGGTTTGCAACAAGCAAAATGTTTTTACATAGGATGTTCTAACACTTTATTCACAATATATACCTAATTCTAGTCACTGAAGTATGATCAAGTATCCTCCCAAAATGCACACTAAAAGTATTTAGGTGGAAAATTGATTTTCCTGCAGTTTCACAAATCTTTGAAAGATGTGTAAATTATTAATGTCAGTACTGGCATGGGCATGGTAGGCACATACATGTCATACATACAACCAAATGTCTGCTGAAGTAGGGAATTGGTATATTCACAAATTATAGAGGATGAGATATATACAAGATATATATCTCATATATATATACAAGATATAATAATTATATATATCTTGAGATATATACAAGATGAAAAATCCTTGAGTGTATGCTAGAAATATTAGGAGTCTGAGGATATTGAACAAGGGACTTGTTTAATTTTCAAGAAAGACTTGTATAATTATATGAGTCTTGTATAAAGACTGAGGGACTCTTACAGTAACTACTATTTAATAAAGACTCATTCCTCTGTAAATGAAAAATTTTTTGACTGGTAAGTTACATTATCAATATGAAATAAAATGATTGTCATATATACCAAAATTTAGCCTATGTGACATACCTCTAATCAGAAAATATTCCATTTTAATAATAACAACTTCTGCAATATACAATAAAATGAAAACAAAGTTTTAATCAATGCAAAGCTTTGAAGAAACTCTTCTGGTATATTTTAATCCTAAAACACAACAAAAAATGAATATAAATGAACTTTTTATCAAAATGTGCACTTACAATTAGCAATTTCATATTTATATATCTAAGCATGAGTCTCCACAGTTATAAATTTACACACTTCCGAATTTTTCAGGATGCCTGAACTGTTCTTTCAAGCTTAGATTTTCAATCTGTATCCATAATACCCTATGTTTGGCCTGATGTCATTTCAAAATTTCATAATAAAGTGTTGCAAAACTCTTCCCCTATTTGATTATGAATTTATTTGCATTCAAAATGTCAGACAGTAAAATATCCCTTCAGAACCTGAAAATATGTGGCCAGGTTTTATGCCAAGAATTCATCGTTCATGCATGGAGGAGACATCAGCAACCGTGAACCCATTATTGGTCAGTCTGATATATACAACTACATCAAAGAACTGAACTACAAAGATTGTCATGCCAAGATCCTTCTCATTGACTCACAGTCCACTCTGGCCGAGGGAATTGTCATTCAGGTGAGAATATTGTTCAGCAATTTATGAGAGCTCCTTGTATTGAAGTCAACTTTTTAGTCATACTCTCTAGAGACTACATGATTTTTTTAAGTGCTACTTAAGTATTCAAGAATTTTTCAGCTTCATTTATTGGTAAAAGTTACATTTCTACCATTTTTTTTAATTTCAATGCATTCTCTATCGGTATTGATCCATTTGCAGGTGACGGGCGAGCTCTCGAATGATGGACGTCCCATGCGGCGCTTCATGCAGACGTTTGTGTTGGCACCTCAGTCAGAAAAGAAGTACTACGTGCTCAACGATATCTTCCGTTACCAAGACCAGGTATGGCTCCTAACATCAAATATTGTTAGTGTCAATTTCTCCTGAAATGGTTTCTCTTTGTATTCGTTTATAATGCTCCCCTAGTTTGGCTGTTTGCTATCAATATTTAAATCATTTTTTGAATAAATTTATTTAAAAATGTGCAGTTTTTATTCAAGTAAAACTCTTGATGGATTGATTGTGTGCAATGTTTGGTGAAAATTCTATACATTAGTGACTATAATTAGAGGAAGTGGTAAACTGGATTTTAATGACATTTTTGCATGTTTGGCACTATGTGTGGGAATATAAACTTGATTTGATTACTGGCACTGTTGTTCACTGCTGTGCACATGATGTAGGTATTTACATCGGCGGCAAGTGAAGACAGTTCGAATGATGCTGAAGATGAGGTGGAGAACTTGCAGCAACAAGACAACGGCTACAGTGAAGAGCTTCAATGCCAGCAAGAAGCCGCTACTGCCGCTGTCACAGAAGGACTTTCTTCTGGCGCTGGTCTGTTGAATTATTATTAATGTTAATTGTTGATTAATTTACTGTTAGTGATTGTACAACATTATTGGATTCTGATAACTTTGATTCATACACAACTTTTTTTTTTGGTTTTTGGTACTGTTGTGCCTGCTTTCTTTTGCTAAAACGTTAAGATTGTTGTTGATTCATAGATCTCCAAATCTTCAGGAATATATTCTTATTATTCATGTGTGGAATCCTTTAACCTAGTACAAAAATTGAATGCTGATAATTAAGCATTTATATTCTTTTTCTTGTATATTTTGTTTTAATTTCAATTCATATGACTTCTAAAATGATCAATTACCCAAGTGATGGCATTCATTTTGATTGCCGGTACCTTTGAGGTTTATTTGAATTCTTGAATATCAGTTCACCCTGAGGATAAAAATGTTCAAGGACGACATAGTTGGCTTTTATTCTTTCATAATTTTATTCATCCACAAATAAATTCATTAATGATTTTACACATTTACGATTCTATTCGTCCACAATTATATTCATGCATGATTATATTGTATGTATCAGGAGTGCCTCCCCCTGGCGTAGGCATGCAGTCTCAGCCGGTGATGGGCGAGTATGCCCCCACAGTCGCAGGCAGTCACCACATGCAGGCTTCTGCTGCCCCAACCCTGCCACCTGGTGTGCATGCTGTCCCTTCTGCCCAGCCTTCTGGCATGACCCATCCTCAGCAGCAGCACAACGGCAGCATTGGTGCTGTGCAAGATATTGCTGCTGTGGCATCTCCTAAGCAGCAAACTGCTGCTGTGGCTCCTCAGCAACAAGTGTACTCGCACATGCCTCCGTCTGGGCCTGCTCATCATCAGCACCCTGTTGTTCACCACCAGCACACTGCTGCGCCCCAGGCGAGTGTCGAGATCTCAGTGTATTTGTGCCTCTTAGTCTTGACAACTGTCAGAACTTTGTTAACTCTGTACCTTTTGATTACTTGATGCTTACTTCAAATTACTGATACAGGGTTAGTTCTAAATAATGCTTTATGATGGCTACTTGAACTGATTAAAAATAATGTTGTACAAAATATTTGATGTATTGAAAGTAAACAAAAAATGATCGAGCTCTAATTTATTTGTAGAGTGTTGAAGCGCCGCCTCCCTCTGCTCCATCACAGCAGCCACCAGCACAACCTGAGGTGAGTCTTGAGGATGTTTGTGTGTTGAGTGATTTATGTGCGTGTTTGTGATGGCTATTTCCACGGGAAATTATTCATTAATCATTACATTCATAGTTTTCTGAACTTCATAGTTTTAAGATGAACCACTCGACACACCTCATTGGAGCTGCAAAAGTCATGAATATCATTGCAGTCGTTGGTGCATTCTGAAGTGACATCACAGAACGTAGAGTGACAGCACCTCCCACTGTTTTATTCTTCTGCACTACCTACCATTGAAAACGGTAATACGATCATGCAGTTAAAAAGTGCAATATTTTTCAGGTGATTGAAGATGATAGCGAGTGGGGTAATGAGACTGCCAACAGTAAGTGGGAGGATCCTGTGCCAACGCCGCCACGCACGCAGCAGCCCCAGCAGTCAACTCGTGTGCACAACCACCAGCAACAGCAGCAGCAGAGCCGCAGCTCTGCATCCATTGCCCCGACTCCTAAAGTAATGGAGAAGAAAGAAGACCAAGCTCCTCTGTCGTACGCTGCTGCTGCCAACAGCAGTGGTATGCAGCAGCAACCTGCCACTCAGTACCAGCCTCCTCAAACTGCCACACCTGTGGCCGCTCCCACCTCAGTACCTGCACCTACAGTGCCATCCCAACAGACACAATACCAGTCCCGTGGCAGTGAAGGAGTGGCACCTCGACAGAGCAGCCATAGCCGGGATCACCAGGGACCACCTCCGAACCACCACCCTCGAGGGGAACGTGAGCATAACGGAGGATTCCAGAAGCCTGGTCGTGGTGGCCGACCATACCGGCCCCGACCATCAAACTACTCAGAGTCTGGGGACCACATTACTGGTGTTGATGATCACACCAACTCCTCTGGTAAGCATCCTTCCTCTCCTCATCTTTTTCCTGATGCAAAATTTGTCTTTGTTATTAAAAATTGTTAGCAGTACGTTTATAAATTTAAATCTGCCGTTTTGATTAAAAATGGTAATATTTTCGTAAAAGAGAAAATTTTTCATGCGGTATTACTGTTCTGTCTAGATTTAGTGTCACTATTATTGATGCCATCTGGTAAAGAATTTTACAATAAGGTAGCCTTTTTGAATAAAAAATGATCTATTATTCAATGAACACAGAAAGCGGCTATGGGCGCTTTGAGAACAGAAGGCGGGAAGAACAGTCTAGCGTTCCCGACACTCAGCAAGTTTTTGTTGGTGAGTTGCCTCCATTGATGAGGTGTTACATTATATTTAGTCCTTCATGTGACTACTTTGTCTAATATACTCTCATTGCATTCCTTTGAATGATGAATTTTAAATGTTAAATGTGCTATTCCAAATGAGTCTCACGTAGTAGGTATTTTTTTATTTGAATTTGTCTATCTGAAAATTTTGACAATAAATACCACTAAAATATTTTATCATAGATGCTTTTGAATGTCTGTTGTGAATTACTAGTTTGCTTAGTTACTGCAGTAACGGCATCTCAACTAAACACATTTGTTGTTATTTCAGGCAATGTGCCAGCAAACGTGACCAACGATGAGCTGCGGGAAGTTTTTTCCAAGTTTGGCAAGATCTTGGAAGTGCGCATCAACTTTGGCAAGAGTAAAGTGATTCCTGGCGCCGCAACCAACGGCAAGCCCCCAGGACCTGTTCCCAACATCGGCTTCATTACTTTTGAGGATGAAGAATCTGTCAAAAGGTCTGTAGTAATTGTTTAATAGTTTCATGATTTATGACACATCAAATGGTTTCGGATTATACCTTTTTTTAGATTGTATCCTTATGTCTGACCGCAAATTATTCATGACAGATGAGTTTCATATTCCAAATGCATGTGTTGTAAGTAGGTAAATAACGTATTCTACTAATTCATGCAATTGTGATATTTTAGTTAGTGCAACCTCTCTGTTGGGTAATCAAGAAGAAATGTTATCTTGGTTGTGAGTGGACTTTGTCTAATAATCATCAAATTTAACTCAAAATAATGCTGCATTGTGTCATATTAGGTATCTGAAAACGTCATTTAAATTCTTCTACCCCGTCCAACTAAAGTATTTACTTTTTTGAATTTTATCATTTAAGGCAAATAAAATTCTGTCTTGTACATTTAAACTACCGTCTTATAATCCATTGCTACAATTTTTGGAATATTTGATTGGCTTGACTAATGTGCTTACTGTTACCACGCTTGCAGATGCCTGAATGGCCGCCCCATCAAGCTGGGCAGCTCCAACCACCGCCTCAACGTCGAGGAGAAGAAGAACAACCGAACTCGCACAAACATCCGTCCGCCCATGCACCAGGTAACCCTTTCCTTTGGTTCTTGAGAAGTTAGCGTGCTTGTTGCTTATCTCCAAGATTTATGGTCTACGTCTGGGCAATTGGTGCGTGGTTTTCAAATGAGAATCTCTTCAGTAATACCCGCTACACTCGAAATTGTCGTTCTTACCATTAACTTCTTATTGATTTTAGTATAACTAAAGCTGTCGATTAAAAAAGTTTATGTTCACGGTTTTTGAATTTACTATCACAGCCAAAAGCACAGTGTCTAGTTTTTCTGGGCTATCCAAAGCAATATGATTATACAGAATTTGCTTAGTCCGGTCACGCTGACTTTAGTAACATATATCTGTGCATTTCCACAATTATTGATATATACAGGGGTTCGACAAAATAAGGGAAGCTCCTGAGAAACTCACAAAATATATTACATTACATAACAACCTGGAAAAGCCTGGTACTAAGTTATCAACCAAATCTGGATGAACGGCTAAGTTGACCATGAGCTGAGCTTCACGAAAGAACTTGTCTCGAGTGGACTTGAGCCAGGAGCCGGGAGCGAGAGACTGAGTCTCGCACCACTGCTCTGTGCAGATCTTACGATATCTTCAATTTAAATACAATTTCTCACATGGAATAGCGTTAATTTCTATGAACAAGAATTGAGTGTCGAGTTTCAGAGGAAAGTTCTTTTTATGGCCATTTTGAGCATTTAATTGACCCCTAAAAATGATGCTCCTGAAGCTTAATCTGCTCGAAGAAAGGTCAGTTTTGCAGCTTCTGTAATGATCTAGATTGTTTTCAGATGTATGAACATGATTGCACAACCCCAAAGGGTTTTGTAATCATCAATTAGATTTCTGAGCCAATGAACAAACACATCGCACCATTAGAAAACTGAAGTGAAAGTTGCTGGAAAAGGGCCTCTATGCACCTGCACTAAAACCAGACTAGTTGCACTAAATCAGACATTAGCAGCCAAAATGGTCATTTAATACAATATCAATGTACTGAGTGTATTATTTTAAAGTTAAGAATAGTTTAAAGTTATCTTCGTTGAAAAGTTCAAAGCTTTTCCTTAAAAAATAAGGACATTTGGACGTGACCCCAAACTTTTGAACAGTGGTGTAAGTTGGGGATGTGGGAAATTTTGTTCTAATTTTGTTAATTGAAAAGAGGACCTAAAGATATACGATTTCAAGAGTGTGTGTGTGGAATGTGTCACGAGTAAACTATGCATTTGCAGGGCGGTCGCGGCAGCTTTAACCGCATGGATGGTGGCCGCGGTCCAGCTGGTGGACCACGCGGCGGTGGTAGCGGTGGTGGTGGTGGGAGTGGTGGCTTCAATGGCCCCCGGCGATCATAGTGTCGTCGCTTCTTTCCGCATTATAATTATTTCTCCTTTTCATCTGGTTTTGCGTCAATTGAAAAGTCTTACACATGTAACCAGCCATCGTTAAATAGTTCACTATCATTATCAGTTGGAGGCCTATACCATGAGATATTTCTCTGACGACTGCTTTACGCGTTTAGTTGAGCTTACGTCCCTGCATACGGAGAATCTGATGGTTAATTTCATCTTAGTGGCAAGATCTTGTTTGGAAGCTCTTGAAGACTTGGCTTTCATAGAACAGCGCTTGAAGCCCGCGCACACAGAGCTCTAAGTGTTCATACATCCTCGCCTTGTTCCGTGGTAGAGGTCTTCAGATGTTTGCGTGTGTGATGATCAGTTATAGATAATCATTGCACGTTGCTGGCTGTATACCACTTGATCTTCAACCCTTTGTTAGTTTATTTACATCTATCGTCCTTGTAGTTATTTTTGCATTTTCAATTTGTGATTTACAAAGTTGACTATTATTAGGATACTTTCTCACACTGGGCTGTCCCAGGGCGAGGGATCCGAGCTTCGAGTTTGCACTTCTCTTCCTTGGGTGCCTGTACCTTAGGATTCCACAGCTACTTGGAGTAGAATATTACGCTGGGCGCGTTACTATTGTCACGTCACCCGCCTATCCTGACATGGCAAGTCAGGCTGCTGTTGTGAGGGGCATAACTGGGTTTACGTGCTACATAAGAAAGTTAGAGTTTTGTAGCTTGTTTGCAAGATGATTTCAGTGAAATTAAATTAGATGAAGGATTCTCTGAGTGTCCGATTCACGGCTATTTTAGGCTCAGAATACAAGGTAGACATTATTCCAGCCGGTCAGTGTTACGCATTTCTTGCTTCACAGTTTCTCTGCTGGGCATAGCGGCTAATGACGGCTGGCGTTTTGAGTTATCGTTGAAAAACGTTAAAGTGATGAGAATAGAAGCAGCCGTTAGCCACAATGTTGCTAAATGCGCTCACTTAAAACTAGGACACTTCAGGGAGGATTATTATGTTTGTGCAGTCGTGCTTATGTTTTAATAGCTTAAGACTTGCTCATAACTTTTTTGTCTTCATTAACAAGTAGTTTATTATTACCGAGTAATTAATTCATACTCTGTATAAAAATTTGTGCACTTCACTTTGTTTCAGTTGCTTGTATCACGTTTCATGTGTATAAAACTCATCTAGCTGGGAATATCACGCTCCGTTGAGTGTTGCATGTACAAAAATGGAAGCATCACTCAAATGTTAACGTAACGACCAGGAGTTCAATCGACTTGTGCGGTGTCGGAGATAGGTGTGAAGAACGCCATCGTCATCACGTTTGCGTTGTCACGATGAGCGACTACTTGTTTTCTCATTTTTTACCGTATTTTGTAGTATTGATGTCTTTTTCGTTTTCTCCTACTTTAGCTCTCTTTTAGAAGGATTCGTTATGCTGTCTATGGACCGTTTGCATAGAACTAATGAAATGCTTTTATCTCCTTGTCGCGCTCCATCCTTTCGTCAAAGAATACAAATTTTGAAAATTAAATTTATGTTCTTTGCAACTGTTCCATGGTTTATTCTTGAACTTTTGACTAGGTAAGTCTGCTATGCTGTGATAGAGAATTGCGGTATTTGGCGAAAATTCGGATCTCAAGCAGTTGCGGCAACTTCTTTTAAATCATTGTCGACGAACCCTATGTGAGCCTCTTTGAAGAGGTATTTATTTCGGACAAACAGTATGGAACGCGACGCGGTGTTGTGATATTTGTCTCGTGTTCCATGCATACGAGTGATCTAAACGAGGCGACTACGTCTTCGCGAACTTTTTTAGGCGGTGTCAGCGTTTGAACTGACATCTCTTTTTCCCCTGTGTGTTTTTCATTTGTTGTGTACTCTTGAGTTGTAAAAATGTATCACGCCAAGACTCCAAATGGTTTGCTGTGTCGTCAGTCTTTTTTATCATAGCGACGGATAATGCAATTCTTCTTAGATTTTCATTACAATCTTTTGTCTTGACTGATGTATTCTTTGCTATTCTGTGTGTTACGATAAAGCCTAAAACATCGTCCATTCAATGCGATTGTTAACATAAATTGGTTTATTTTAAGTCTTTTCTTGGTTAAAGATCCGTAGAAATACTTTTCTATATAGCTGCTTGGCCAAGATATCGTGTTTCTTTGCCTGTGCTGCATGATATGCTCATTTAAACATACACTCTCGCGCTGTTAGTGTATTTCAAGAGCGGCCTTATTTTGCGTTGACGCTAGTCACTTGCTGTACATTGAACATGCTTAACACCCATACTTGGATCCTCGCTTGCAATTCAGTTGTGCTGCTCACTAAGGTCATTTTATTTTATTAGCACTTAAAGGTTAAGAACGCTTTATTCTGGCCAAGCTGCTCCTGGAATTTGCCGACACGAGCCCCAATTACCAGCGATATTACCTTATTAATGCATTACCAGCTTACACGGCACTTCAATGAATAGTTGAAGTGTCACCATTCTGACATATTTTATCTGCAGTTCTAGCGCTAAACAAACACAACATCTCGCTCTGAAAAGAAATAACTTAATACATTTTTTTACGAGTGATTACATGACCATATATCATTGGTCGGGCAGCTTTTCTACACCAACTACGGAACAAATGTTAATAAATTACTCTTAATTAGCAATAAAACCATTAATTTTTCATCGTCGCACCGTGTGAAACCTTGACATTGACTGTGTTATGCAGACCTTAGAAAGGTTCTCAATACCGGGATTCGTATACGTTTTTCATGTACATCGGCGGTCATCTGGGGCAGCGAATTTAGAAATTCTGTTTTCCAAAGTCGCCGGCATCTCAATAATCAGTGTCGATGAAAGTAGGAGTGCCTTCCGCATACTTGTGGAAGACATCGCCGACGCTCTTCGTGCACTCATTCCATTAGGTTGGAAACTTTGTGTAAACCTTATCAGAAAAGCCAAAAATATATTTAGAAAAAATTATCCGCTCATTATTTTCCTGGTGCACTATCTTCAGAACTTCGAGATTAAAAAGAGAAGTTAATCCCAAGTAGGTCTCCTTAACCTGATAGAAGAAATTCTCGGAGGAGGTATGGTAAATTTTCGAGGCATTTTAATTGCTTTCATTCTTAACTTGCAATTCAGGAAGACGTAAGATTCGAGTTCTTCATGAACTCTTACTGAATTTTGTGTACTTAATGCATTTCCAGTTCCGACATCAGCTTGAAGGAACTTTATTTTTGTCTAAGTACAACAAAACGGCGGCACCGACAGCCGAACTCGATCAGGGTGTGGGTCGGGACAGCAAGGAAGTACGGTTGTTTTAGTAGCAGGTAAAAATAAATTATTAGTCAAAAATTAACATTTACTTAGAAGAAAATTGCAAAAAGAATCTCATACCTTTAAGAATAAATGGACTGGTTACTGCTTACCAAAGTGTATGAAATTAGGTCCAGTCTTCTGGGGCAAAAACAAATTAGCGGACAGTTGATCGGCAGTTAGGATGAGATAGAAAACATTTAATTAATGACTCTAATCTAAGCATCAATAGAGTCTCACTTTGAAAGGGAAGCTAGTAGAATCTAAACGACGGAGTGATATTTCATGACCGACAGTCGATCACTGATCACTCGTAAACATCTATCACATTTGGAACGGGAGTAACAACTTAAGAACTAGTAGATCCTCAGCAGACTTCCTGTTTAAATAAAAACAAAGTAAAATTGCCATACCCTTGAGGCAGGAAACATTGCCTTGAGAGGCTCCAAGATTTCATTGTCCTCCTCTACTGACGAAAGGCAGGAAACATTGCCTTGAGAGGCTCCAAGATTTCCTTGTCCTCCTCTACTGACGAAAGGCAGGAAACATTGCCTTTAGAGGCTCTAAGATATCCTTGTCCTCCTTTACTGACGAAGGGCAGGAAACATTGCCTTGAGAGGCTCTAAGATGCGCAGCATGACGTCCACACTCCAGGCCTTGCCGAGGAGCGCCTGCCGTTGTCGAGGCTGCAGGTTGCCCACGTCTGTGAAGTGCTCAGGGAAGCCGAACACCTACCACGACACGAATATTTTCAAGTGAAGTCAAAAGAACGTTCTAGATTGAGTGTAAAAGTAATTTTTTCAACGGATGATCATTTGGTGGCACACGCACGCATGAATTTGAATATTAAACTCAAAAATTTTAGCCTAACTTGATAATATTCCGTGATAATATTCCATTAAAATCATTCTTCTCTAGCAACTGTTATGCAGCCTATTGAGTTCTCGGCCATGTAAGACTAATATCCGAAGCAAAGATGGGTGCTTACCAATAGTCTCGATCTCTCTTATCCATTCTTATTAACCTTCTCGACCTAGGCTATCCAGAAAAAACCACAAACCGCTATCTCAGGTTAAAAATACTAACCTTTTCGATCTCAGTTATCCAGATGGCGTCGGGGCGACCGCGCATGCGCATGGGGAAGTAATGACCCGCGATGTCGGTGGTGGAGTTCGCTTGTGTCGTCACGCACCTCAGCTCCGTCACTTGCGCCTCCCGGTCAAACACCTGTGTAGAAAAACGCATTATTTTAAGATAATAAAACTGTTAAGATATGGAAAATATTAAGTTTTGGAAGGCGAGCCAATATAGTTTGATTGGATTTTATATGCCTAGGACATATACGACGTGAAAGGAGATACGATTTCCGCGACGCATTACAAGTTATAAATTTTTGAAATAAAATTAAACTCGAGGTCGAGGAGAAAATTCGAAATGAATCAATGAATCTGAGCTTCGAAATGCATCAGCAAGGCGATTTTTCTACTAAATAAGCAGTAAAACTTGTATATTTAACCGAATGAAATCATACGTTTCATTCTGATTTGTAATCAAAATATTTAATCTTGAATCAATATTTGGTATTCGAATCTCGAAATTTGAGTTGAACGGGAATTGATATTTTCCGAATAGATATAACACAATAGATTTCCCATCATTGAATCGAAAAATCAAATTTTCAGGAAAAAAATTAACTCCATGTTATTAATTTTAATTTGATTTGTAATCAATTTAGAATATTTTTTAATTCAAGCAAAATCTTGTAAGATGTATTTTTAAAGACGCGCCTGTTCGACGAAATCTTGCAGCCTCGTCTGAGTCGTCGTCCTCAGGCCGCTCAGGTCGTGCAAGTCTGCACACAAGAAGCGATCACGTCAGACAAAATCAATTATAAACTCTGTTGTGTTTGGTGTCGTAAATCAGAACAAAGCCTATAAATATATTAATTATCAAATGCGAAATAAATATATTTAAAAAATGAAGTTTTATCAATAATAAATGCTACATCTTTTCATTATACATACTTTCTCCATTTATTCACAGTTTTTAATTACAGCAAACACGCGCCATAAACCAAGTTGAAGTCACCCTTGAAACAGTTGGATGTGCACTGCAACTATGTTGAAGGGAGCAAAAAACAAAGTTGGATGCAAATAGAAACAAAGATAGATATCTAGAAACAATGATATAGAAAAACAAAGACAGATACCGAGAAACACAGACATATACAGAGAACAAAGATAAATAATGAATAAACAAACACCACACACGCCACCAGCTGAGCGATACTCACGACACACGCTGGGTCAATATAAAGAGGAACACAGAAGAAACGGAGAACAAAGACAAATAATGAAGAAACGAACACATATATAGAGGAAAACAGAGAACAAAGATGAATAATGAAGAAACAAACACAGATACAGAGGAACCAAGACAGAAACAGAAGAACAAAGACAGGTACAAGCCGCCATTGCTTCTTCACCAGGAATGTTGCCCCAGAACAAGCGTGTGCGGCTCATGGGTGTGAACGCCCTGGCGTCCACGGCCGTCGGCTCTGAATGCAGATGCCTGTCAACGGAGTTGTAGGAATGCAATAAGGCATTTATTACGCATTGAAAAGTTGATAATAATAAAAAAGTTGATAATAATAATAATAACATATTTCAAGTACATGCGTAAGTGGTGTAGTCAAAGATACTACTAGTTGGCTATTCAAACAGCTTTTCAGATCTTCCCAGCGCAAATCTTGCCTGTCTTAGGATGATCTTCGTATAATCTTGCTCAGATTATCTGCATTAATTACAGCCACACATGAGCATCAATAAATTAATTGTGTTGACTCACTACAGTTGACTCACTTGCTAATGGTGTTCCTGTACTCAGTCGGCATGGATGCGACGTTTTCAAAGAGCCACAAGAGCGGATGTTTTTTATTAGCGCGAGCAACGCTCTTTAAAATACGCACGAATTCGAAGAAAAGAATGCCAGTGCCAGACGGGTCTGCGGGACATATATAACATTCATATTAAGTTAATGGCTTGTGAACGAAAAAACTTAAATTAATTAGCAATTGGCAGCGCAATGAGATTATAGCGAGATTTTCAGAACAATAGATCACCAACGATAAGAGCGTGTACAGAATAAATAAAGTGCTAAACTATGGTTTCATACTGCTCGTTTAATATCCTTTTTGAATGATAAATAAATTTCAATGCACAACGCATATCAAGTAGGAAATGTAAACTGAATCATTATTGGAAAGTAGAAAATTTCAAGTGGGATACTTCACCAAACAGGCCCTTCCTCTTGGGGTTGACGATGCTGAGGTCGGAGCAGGGGGAGCCTCCTAGGACGAGGTCTATAGGGGCAATGGCAGCGATCTGGTCATCCGTGACGTGCCTCACGTCGCCCAGCCTCGTGACGCGACCATGGAAGTGCTTCTCAGACACCGTCATGGCGGCCTCGTCCACCTCCGACGCGAAGTACACGTCCACCTTCACGCCTAAGAGGTCCAGGCAGTAGAGGCCTGCGATCCCCGACAACAATACATATGAAACGTCCTCACCAGCCGTAGTGGAATATAAGTAGAAGACTGAAGTAATAGACTGACTGAAGACTAGAAGACTGAAGTAATAGACTGACTGAAAACTAGAAGAAAGAAGTAATAAAAAAATTTTGCGAGTTCTTAACTCAGTCAGCCAATCACTGACGACGTTTCAGGCCAAAGCCATTCCTTCACAGATGAGATACCGGCTTACTGATGCCGATACGTGTACTTGGGACAGTACTACAGGAATAGTTGGTTTGAAGTAAAGATAAATTTTGTTTGATTGTAAGAAATAAAAAAGAAGATTATAAATAAAAAAAACATTTGAGAGATGTATTAAAATATGAACGGGAAAAACCTAATAATAAAATACACTGCCACCTTCACTCTTGATTCAGACTGAGTCATAACTGTTCGTTTCCCTAAGTTACGAGGTTAAAAACCCAGCTAGCTGTAAAAATCCTGTGATGGATTGAATCACTGACAAGGAAGACATGACCTAATCTTTAAAACTGAAAAAATTACTTATTTTATTATTAGACAATTGTCATTATGTAAGTAATCCTTTATAGCAGAAATTGAACGCTCTATTATGCAACGTACGTCAAGGCAGTCAAAAAAATGAGTCAACATCAACAATCAAACGACCGTTTTAGTAAAGGAACCAAAAATATGAATTAGGACAGAAATTCAGGGATAATTAGAGTAATTGTACTGAACGATTAATCCCTTATGAATCCAACACAGCAACGACACTCACGTTGTCCCGCCCAAGCTCCGCCAACACGACGACCAGAGCTTCCTGTGGCAGGTCAGAGAGTCTACATTAGTTCTATGTTTCTAAGATGATGATGGCACAATATATATTGATTTATTGTATTTTAATGATATGAGATGCTCTGAATTTTGACACGTCTTGCACTGGGTGTACACGCCCCCGTGACTATTGACACACCTTACACGGGGTGCACACGCCCCCGTGACTATTGACACACCTTACACGGGGTGCACACGCCCCGTGACTGTGACACACCTTACACGGGGTGCACACGCCCCCGTGGAAGACAGGGTGCGTGTCAGTGACAGAACACGCGACGCTCGCACACGCGATGCACACGTCGTCCACACGCCTCTTGAGCGCCCGCACCTCGCGCAGCTGCTCGGCTGCCAGATATAATTATAACATTTAATAATGTATAAATTATTTAATTTATACATCATTAAACATTAACATTTAATGATGTATAAATTATTATCATGTAAAAGTGAATAATATGCGTTTAAAAATTACTTTTTAAAGACAACACTTCCAAAGAATCCAGTGTCTCCAATCTTACAAATGTACAATGAATTTCTCATTTAATTTTCAAATTAAAAAATTAGTTTTTCAATTTTTTTTAATATATAAATTTTTTAATATATAATTTTTTTCAAANGCCTTGAAAGAGAATTGAACGCTTGAACCTTCCCTTATTGTTTTATGCATCACGAGTGAAAAAAGAATATCATTTGAAGTAAAAATCCCAACCAATAATCAATGCAATGGTTAATGTTATCGTACTTTGGATACGTAGTGATCGCCAAACCAGAATATCCAAACAGCATCCACGTCAGGCGGCGGCACATAACACCAGTCGCAAGATATGATGATACCTGCGAGATACTGGGGGTATTAGTAATGATACTTGGATACTGTTGAGGGTATCTACAAGCTAATGGGATATCACAGATGATACATGAATACTGATGATAATACCTATAAGATACCAGGCTATCATTTATGATACTTGGATACTGATGATGATACTTGGATACTGATGATGATACACGAAGATCACTGGATGGCAATGACGCTGAAAGCATCATCGGCTAAGAGCCCTCTAATTGGCTGACGTCCTGTGGTGCTACTAGGGCTACTAATGAGGTTGTGTTGTGTAAGAGTATGCGCATTTCAGTGCATTCGTATATTATAAAAACCCGCTAGCTAGACACAATATTTGTTTTGAAGAATTGCATACAAGTATAGATTTGATTCGATTATGTAAAAAATACATTAGTTCAGTTTTGACTCTGAAATGTACAACAGATATTTTTTAAAGAATATTATTTACAGAATCCCCCACGTCTTTAATTACACAAATACATAAAATGCATAGATAATCAACAATTGGGCTAGATTCAATGATAACTTTGCACGACAACTTCATTAGTAATGACGTCACCAGGCCAGCGCGGGTAGCCCGCTAGCTTGCCCCACACCAGCCGCCCGTACTGCGCCCCCGACACGGCGCTCGCACGACGCCACGGCTTTTGATGCGTAAATATAAGAGATTAAAGATGAACTTGCTTGAAAAATATTATTACGAGAACATTAATAAATTCAATAAGAATATTACTTTTTTATAAATCAAAGTGAGTATTAAAAACATGGTTCAGTAGACAGTAGGCAGTATCGACTCGCCGGAAAAAGGAATAAAAATTGCGCGGAATAATACTTAGTTGATGTTCTTCGGTCTCAATTTCGCGAAAAAAAAAGTTTCATAGTATGTAGAATTTGTTCTACATTAGGTTAATCTCAAAGCAGTTTAGTAATGTTGAACTTACACAAGTGGGTTGCGACGTCACAAACTTTGTAGTAGTAGAATTTTCTACGTAAAGTTTCCTATAGTCGCGCTGGAGACACTTGAGTGACACACCATCACGTACGGCTTGATGAGACCCTAGCAGCTTAAAGCAATTCATCCACTCATCTCTGGATTCATCTTCGCTGCATTCACCTGTAACGACGTGAAATTGTAAAAAAATATGACTCAGTACGCACTGCAGTGAGTGACAGAAAGCGCATTTTCTCGTCCGTCCGTCCGTGAAGTCACGGAAAGGCAGACAGACAGACAGACGGACATGACGAGCACAATAGCACCTTTTTCCATAAATGAGAAAATGCGCTAATAACAAACCCGAAACACTGCTCCTATTCTTCATAAAATATTTATAGAACAGAAAGGTATGATCTTGCAGCAGCGATAATTCTGTGTAAACATGTGGCTAGGATGCCATGAATCAAGTCACGAAAAGTTCAAGAATCGGCAACAGGCCATGGGCCTATTTCTTCAGTGCCGACACTTCCATTCTATTCTATTCTATGACTGTTCCTTTCCCTGAGTTACGATGTTCAAAACCCAGCTAGATGTGAAAATCCTGTGATGGCTTGAATCACAGACAAGGAAGACATGACCTAATACTCAAAACCGAAAAAAATATTTCTTATATTAGTATTAGACAATTGTCATTATCTAATCCCATATAGCAGAAATTAAACGTTCTATTATGCAACGTACGTCAAGGAAGACAAAAAAAAATTGTGAACATCAACAATCAAACGACGGTTATAGTAAAGGAACCATAAAAATAAATTGAGACAGAAATTCAGCGATAATTAAAGTAATTGAACTGAACGATTAATCTTGTATGGATCCAACACAGCAATGACACTCACGTTGTCCCGCCCAAGCTCCGCCAGCACGACGACCAGAGCTTCCTGTGGCAGGTCAAAAAGTCAGTGAGGAAGTGTAGTGTCCTCATCATGTAAATAATAATCATGTAATAGTTAAATAAAAAACGTAAAAAACACGTTTTCTTAACGGACAAAAAAGAAACATTAACTTTTTCAGTGAATTATCCTAAATTTCATTCTTGACCTAAAATGAAGTCTAAAGTTTATTTTTTCAAATCTTATGCTGAGAAAATATTAGTTCTATGTTTCTAAGATGATGATGGCACAATATATATTGATTTATTGTATTTTAATGATATGAGATGCTCTGAATTTTGACACACCTTACACGGGGTGCACACGCCCCCGTGGAAGACAGGGTGCGTGTCAGTGACAGAACACGCGACGCTCGCACACGCGATGCACACGTCGTCCACACGCCTCTTGAGCGCCCGCACCTCGCGCAGCTGCTCGGCTGCCAGATATAATTATAACATTTAATAATGTATAAATTATTTAATTTATACATCATTAAACATTAACATTTAATGATGTATAAATTATTATCATGTAAAAGTGAATAATATGCGTTTAAAAATTACTTTTTAAAGACAACACTTCAAAAGAGGCCAGTTTCTCTGATGTTACACATGTAGAGTGAATTTCTCATTTTATTTTTAAATATTAAAAAAAATTAAAAATTTTCAGTATAAAAAGGAATTTTGAAAGTGGACTACTTGCAAGGATGAAGTGCTACATTGTAATGCAAGTACACAATTAATTTTCTTTACATTTTGCTGCTGGGACTGGATTGCATCCGTGTACTATGTCCTAATTTGAATCACTCTAATACGCCGGCAGGATGAGAGCCTATGCTCAAATCACAGCGCGAATTTCTACAATTACTTCCGAATTCCAAGCATGTGGATCGTATCAATACAAATTCAAAGCAGCATCCAGTCACATTCAAGAAATCTGAATTGCCAACTCTTGTTCACGGCATACATAAAAGTGATCAACATACATTAACAAAATATACATTTAACTACATATGTACTATATAATTTAAAGTACAATATGACAAACCTTTTTCAATCCAATCTGGCCCAGGTAGCCTCTCCTCGTCAGAAGTATCCTCGTCAGCATTAGGAACCTCTTCGTCGTCGTCCGTGGTGAGCGCTGCCGCTGACGAAGGCGAAGATGCACGGCGGCGTCGCAAGCTGTAGAGACGTGCGAGGTGACGACGTACGAATGGCGAGACCACGCACTCTGTCATGAACAATAATAACGTTGAACATAACAAGACAATAGTTTTAACCTTCAAATAATATACCAATTCCATTCATCTTAATCTGAGATTTCATCTTTTCATTTCCCGTATTCCCGCTGGTCCGATTAATTCACTGCACGGCTCAATTCATTGAGTACACCGGAACTCCCAATTTTACTGAATTAAACTATTTGTGATGACCAAAATTATTTG